GGGAGGGCCAAAGAACTTGTTATTAGGCTATTATAACAAAAAAGTATAGTATTTATACACTAAAAGAAAAATTGAACAAAGAACAGAATAGAGAGTTAAAAAATAAATCCAAGTATAGATGAATACATACAGGGGTGCCAAAAAAATGTATATAGATTTTAAGACATGCTCTGTATGCATTACATTTCAAAGTTGAATTAAATTACAGTAGTAATGTGTAGTATGACATTTGGTCAACAGTGCTTTCACCATTTTATTTGACTGTCCTGCCTGTCACATGGTGATGCTAGCCTTCATTTGGTTAATGTCATCTTTTGAGTGAATGTCATACTCAAAATGTGTATACATTTTTTGGCAGCCCTGTATTATGTTATGAGAGATAACACTGCCAGTAAACAGGGAAAAGATGAAACTCAGGTAAATGGTATTAAGTTTATAAGCTATCCATTTCAAAGAAAATAATAATGGGCACTTACTTTGCATCATGTACAAAAATAAATCACAGATTAAGTGGATAAACATGAAAACTATAAAAATCAGCATAAAATATAGAATTAATATAATAGCTCCATAAGCAATAAAGAAGATTAAGAAATAAAGGAGGAAAAGAGACACGTTTCATGTTGTTAATACTTGCATTTTTAATATAGCATAAGCTGAGACAGCAATAGCCTAAAGAGTGTGAGCACTGCCCAGTGGACTGGGGGAATCAGATCACCCCTCAAGTGGGGCAAAGATTGGGGCTGTCTCCCTAGCAGGCTCAGAAGAAAGAGCCACAGAAGGTTCTTCTCTGGTCTTAAAATCTCACAAATTCTTTTCTGTTTGGTACTGGACTTGTCTAGGGCCCACAACCCCTTTTTTCTTTCTCATTTCTTGCTTTTGGAATGGAAAAGTATAGCCTATGCCTTCCCCACTATTGCATCTTAGAAGAAAATAACTTATCTTCTGGTTTCAGAAGCCCACAGGCAGAGACAAATTTTGCCCCAGGATGAACCATATTATGAGCCTCACCCATAACCGATGTAGATGACGAGATTTGGGGATTTTGGGTTTTATGATATTTAGTACAGATGTTGGATTTAGGGTTGATACTGGATAAAACTTTTGGATATATTGAGATCGGGTGAATATATTTTGCATATGGGAAGAACATGAATTGGGAAGAACTAGAGGCAGACCGTTATGAGTTGAATTCAACACACGAGGAGGGATCCCAAAAAACCTGAATTTATTTATAAAAAATTGTGTATTTATTCTTACATGTTCAAACTTCAGTCACCTTCAAAGGACTCTCTGTTGGATGCAATACACCTATCGAGATGCTTTTTTCGCTTCCCATAACAGTTTTTAAACTCGTCAATTTTGATGCCTTTTAGTGCTTCTGCCATTTTTTGTTTCACTTCTTCCACATTGGCAAAACGTTTCCAATGTTTCTGGCAGACAAAAAAAAGTCACTTGGGGTGAGATTGGGTGAATAGGGAGGGTGGGACATGGGGATCATGCCATTACTGGAAAACACTTAGCACAGTATGGGCAGGCGCACTCATAAATCACCCATTTTGAAATAGGCAAGCGTGTTGAAAAAATATCTAAAAAATATTTCACTAAGCCGAACACAGACTCTCACAGCAACTCTAGCTGGTACACTGATGCTGGTGGGTTCCTAGAACACTTACCTAGCGGGAGAAGCCTGTACTGCAAGGGATTCACTCTCCAAAAAACAATTCCAGGTTTTGTTGGGTCCTCCCTCTTATATGTAAGACATTTGGGGGAATAGGATTATTGCAGGTGCAATTGGTTAAGATGAAGTCATGCTGAAATAGGTAGGCCATTAATCCAACATGACTAGTGTTCTTATAAGAAAGAAATTTGGATACAGGTATATAAGGAAGATGGTCATGTGAACACAGAGGTAGAGATAGGAGTTAGACTGCTACAAACCAAGGAACACCGTGGGCTACCAGAATCTGGAAGAGGCAAAGGAGAATCCTCTCCTAGAAGCTTCAGAAAGATCACGGTCAGTACATTGATTCTGGACCTTTAGCCTCCAGAACTGTGAGACAACAAATTCCTGCTGTGTTAAGCCACCCAGTTGGTGGTACTTTATTACATCAGCCCTAGGAAATGAATACAAGAGGCCAAAATGTAAATTCTCAACAAATTTAAAACATATTTAGTTGCTACAAAAAATATCCAAAAATAATTATACTTATGTGAAACTGATAGGATATTTATTCCCTATTTTCTAAATGTTGATGGAAATTAATTTTTAAATGGTTGATTCATATGAGGAATTTTTTTTAAATTCAGATGACTGGCATGATGCTTTTACAATACTTACTCATCTTCACCATCTTAGAGCTGGTCACTACAATCATAATTACCCGGTGGATTATGGCAGCACTTCTTAATGAACAATATCCTGAAGAAAGTGAGTAAATGTGTTTTTTTATGTCAAATTACAATAAAACAATTTCTTCTAAAACCTCTGTTGGCTGGCCTTGGTGGCTCAGCCTGTAATCCCAGTGCTTTGGGAGGCTGAGGTGAATGGATTGCCTGAGCCCGCGGGTTGGAGACCCTCCTGGGCAACTTGGTGAGACCTCATCTCTACAATAAATCAAAAATTAGCTGGGCGTGGTAGCACGTGCCTGTAGTTCCAGCTACTGGAAGGCTGAGGCGGAAGGATCGCCAGAGCCCAGCAGGTCGAGGCTGTGGTGGCAGGGAGCAGCCACTGCTCTCCAGTCTGGGTGACAGAGTGAGACTCCAACTCAAAAAAATAAAAAATAAAAAAAATAAAACCTCTGAGAGTTTAAAGTTTAGAATTGGGGAACAGGAGTGTTGCTTTAGAGTAAGGTCAAGAGCATCTGAAAAGCATGCTGAAATATCTTCTGCTCGATAACTGTGTGAAAGTGAAGTCCACCAACTTGCTCTGGCAAAACTATGAGACAGAAGTCTTTTAGACTTGCATCTCCCAAGAGATCAATACAAGAAATATATAAACCAAAGTGGTTTCAGAGGTCATACCAGGTAATATGAGACAGCGACAGCCTGACTGGGTTCTTGTGCCCACTGCCCCCACAAACAAAACTGATGAGGCTTCTGCGGTGGAGAATTTGCTATCACAAAGCAACTGAGTGAGGAGGGACATGAGAAGTCTCTCAAATCCACCTCCTTGAAAATTCAGAAGGTGAGGTTTTTAAAGGGAGCTTGGCAAGCAGAGGGATAGGCACTGTTGATTGGTTTGATGATGTCATGGAGGAGTATCCAGACTGTTGCAGGACTGGCATAAGACTTCCTGGCGTTCTGGACCTGGGTAAGAGTTCGGGTTCACCAGAGGACAAAGTCTGAAAAAGATATCAAATGCCATTCTTAGGCTTAAAAATAGATGCTATCTATAAAACAAGTCCCATGACCACCAGGCACTATCCTACCCCCACCACAATACACGCCCTCCTCACCCTACCCTGAGTTATCATAGAGTCTGTCTAGGAGGAAGATGTGAGGGAATGGAAGGCCTCTGGAACCTGGAGGTGCTTTGTCTTTCAAATCATTTTAGGTCCATTGTTTAAGAAAGATTATGTTGATCAGCCTTGCCCCTGTTCCAGGGGTCAGGACCTAAAGGTAATTTTATATAGACAGTTTCAGCCAGAAATGCTATAGACTCTAAAGTTCAGATTTAGTTTTGAAGTTTTGATTTCCAAAGCTTGGAATAGAAAATGCCTTCAGAAAATAAAGATTTTAGAGGACACAAAAGAGAGTACTTCTGGAATAGAAAAGTAGGTGGTACCTCCAAAAATCCATTCCTCCGTAAATCAGTAAGAACACTGGTAAATGTCAAAATCAACTGTTTTGAACCTTTGGAAATTAGTCAAAGAGCTACAACCATCCAAGGAGCATTCATTCAAATAAAATGGCTGACTCTTGGTAAGAACAGTGAACTCTGTGGTATCATAATATGCCTTGTTCCCATCCTTCTCACTCCATCTCTGCTGTTGCCTTTAAAAGTAACAATCTTAAAGTCATAGTATTTGTGAAAAACACCAGCCCAACGACCACAGGTGGGGCAAAGTGCGATTTAAGTTCCCATTAAAAAGTCCCATTCTTAGACTATCGGTATTAACTTGTCTGGAAGCTCCCTGGAAATCACCATTGCAAGGCTCTTTTTGACTTCACTCAGAGCTCAATCACTGTAAATAGTTTTCCTTCCTGGGATGTTTGCCTGAGGATGTGTGTTTGATCATAAGATGACTTGGCTTGAGCATCATAATTCCTGGTTCACATCCAGCAAAAGAAACTGGCCTTTCTCGGAAGCCACAAAAGACGCCTCTCTCTACTTCACATTGGCCATCAGCGTGCTCATCTCCCAATGGTATAATAGCACAGGAAATTGGATGGGCATGAAGAATTTAGGCAAGTCATGTATAGTAGGATGGTTTAAAAGGAGTCAAACAGACTGGAAAGTGAATATAGAATCAGAGGAGAGCAAAACTAGAGATAGATGCGATTAAGTGGTTGTTCCCACAGGCCAGCCAAGTGATGTGTACCTAAACTTGAACAATGGGGAATAAAGAGGATAAATTTGAAAGATATTTAGGCAGTCTATTCATGTTTTGTATGCTAGTTACTTTCACCTTACTATTGCTAGGTAACCAAAATATTAGATGAACTAAAATTAGTTTCGTAAACTGCATATTTTTTATTTCAAATTCCCATACTGCTCAATAACTATTGAACATAGCTTTAAATACTGACCTGTATTTCACTTGATAAGAAAACTATTTTCAATATGCTCATGTATTTTCAATTTGGTGTGGGTGCTTATACAACATAAGATAACCTGTGAACCTAAAAACACACACACACACACCAAAAAAGTGTTTTACTCGGGAAAAGAATGATGCCATTCTCATTAGAACACCTTCTTCAGTGATCCCCCAAATCCTGTAATCTGAACCAGATGAGTCTCCACTCTATTGGTTGTTCAGATATTTTTTCATAACATGAAGGAGAAGACCCAAGAGAAACCTTCGGACTCACTGGAGTCCAACCGAAGTTCAAGTCATTTTGGGAAGTGTAACATTTTAGCTTAATATGGTTGTTGTTATTCATTGTCACCTCTACAGTCTAATAGGTCTTAGGTCAGGTATGTTTTTGGCTAGGCTCCCAGGGCTGAGTAGATGCTGTGTTCTCAGTATGGTTTTAACTGGTTCCAAGCTAGGTTTGCATATTTGTTTGTTTGTTATTGTTATTTTGTCTTTTATTACTCAATAACTCAAGACACAGCTATTATTTTAGAGTATAATAATGATCACTCAACTCATCTCAGGTTATTTCTCCTCGGAAATCTCGCTGTCGTAATCTCTGGAAATCCCACCAACGACATCCTCCACTTCCTAATTTACCAAGAGCCAGGGAGCCATCAGTCAAGAACAAAATACGAATAGCGAATTAGTGAAGAACTCTGTAATTTTTTCAAGAAGTCTCGTGGAAAATGCGTTTTAATGAAGTCCTGTCCATTACTCTTTTGTCTTAGTTCTTCAATAAAGGATGCAATTCGATCACAACTTGACGCTTCCCTTTTTAAAAGCTCATGCGGGTTAACATGAATAAATACGGCCTCCCCCACCCCTGTGGTTTAGGGAAGTAGGAGAGTAGACTGGAAGGTCCACTATATCTCAGGTTGCAGGAGATTGCCTGAACAAAGGATCTCCTTCATTCAAAAGCAAATACTCTGATTTTGGACGTGGACATAATGTTGACGTTGCAATAGCAGCCCTCTGGATCTCTCTGTGCCTTTGTTTCCTCATCTGTTGGACAGAAATAATAGCCATGGCCTACGAAGTCTATGGGAGGATTAAATGAAAATATATCATTAAAGGGCTCAGAAGAGCTCCTAACTCATAGTAACTTCTCAATGAGTTGTTATTTGTCATTGAATAGCTTTTATCATTATATCAGTAGCATAGTGATATAAGAAGCCAGACTGAATTTTTTCTGTTTTCCAAGAATTGGTGACTAGAGCCCATCTTTAAAAGCAGAAGATGTATTCAATATTTTAAGTCCAGAAAACCATTTAAGAACTTGCTGGAAAGGGCTGATATGGGTTGAATTTGTTCCCTTCCTCTCCAAAAAAGTTGAAGCCCTAAGTCCTGGTACCTCAGAATGTGACCTTATTTAGAAATGAGGCCTTTACAGAACCATCCAAGTTAAAATGAGGTCATTAGGGTAGACTCTAATCCCACATCACCGGTGTCTTGACGTAAAGAGGAGAAGATTTGGGCACAGAGACACAGGTATGCACAGAGGGAAGGTGATATGAAGGCACACAGGGAGACTATGACGTGGAGGTGAATGATTGAACTGATGCATCTACAAGCCAAGAAATGCCAAAGACTGCCAGCAAGCCACCAGAAGCCAGGAAGAGGTAAGCAAGTATCCTTTTCCTTCAGGTTTCAGAGGGAGCATGCCCTTGATTTTTGGACTTCTAGCCCCTGGAACAGTGAGACAATAAATTTCTGTTGTTCTAAGCCACTCAGTTGGTGATACTTTGTGACAGCAGCCCTAGGAAGATCATACAAATGCCTTTTCTCTATGATGAGCACTATTATTTCCCTCACTCCCTGAAGCGTGTTCGGTGTTTATGAAGGGAGATTGTCCTCTCAACTCAACATCCCACACTAGGAGAGTGGCATTTGAATATTTCTACTCTCTGAAGCTGGGGGAGAGGGGAAGAAGCCACTCCAAATTTGGTGGGAGCCTACAGGAAGAGTCCCCTTCCACACTGGTCATCTTTGGGATCCAGGTAGGACTGGCTGGCCTGCTCCGGAACAAGCAGGACAAGCCAGCGATGTAAAGAGAAGACATGGCTATAGGGCCATGCAGAGAGGGACCATGGGCCACCACAAAGGTCAGAGTTTACGAGGGGTAAAAAAAGAAAGATCTCATCACTGCCTGCAGGCCCCCAACACTGGAACACTAGAGGGAGGTGAGACTGGAAGCCTTAGGTTTCCTGAGAATTGCTGTATCATGGGGGACGATGCGTGCATATCAAAGCCCTTCAGCAAAATGTGGCTTTGATTGTGGCTGCTGAATGCCTCCGTGTGTCCACGTAGGTTAGGGATATAATCCACAGAAAGACAATGTAGGAACTCATTTAATTTCATTTGATTTTTTTTAAACCAACGAAGATTGTTTTTTTAAAAAAATAGTTCCTGTTTGTCATTTTATATGCATATTTTAATATTTTTGTAACAAAAAAATTTTTTTAACTCTGCTGCAAACATTACATGTTGACGTTATATAACTATTCCTTCCAATCCACCCTTGAACCAGCCCCATTGTCTTTTGAAGACATCGGCACTCGAGATCACGGTCAAGTACTAGAAACCGAGCATGTCTCCACAGATGGTGATATCTCTCACAGTACAAACTTTTTTTTTTTTTTTTGAGTTGGAGTCTCACTCGGTCACCCAGACTGGAGTGCAGTGGCCGTTCCCGGCCACCGCAGCCTCGACCTGCTGGGCTCCGGCGATCCTTCCGCCTCAGCCTTCCGAGTAGCCAGAATTACAGGCATGCGCTACCACGCCCGGCTGATTTTTTGATTTATTGTAGAGATGAGGTCTCACTGCCCAGGCGGGTCTCAAACCCACGGGCTCATGCAATCCACTCACCTCAGTCTCCCAAAGGCACGGGATTACAGGCTGAGCCACTGAGCCCGGCTCAGTACAAACTTTTTATGGGCTACTTTTTCATTCTCCGATCCCATGCAATGACACAAAGATTTAACACTATTTGCCCTGGTTAATTCTAAGACTGTTTCACATGTTCTCCATTTCAACACTCTGTAATTGGTCTTAGCCTGGGCTGCCTACATGAATTAACATCATACCCACCTTTCTCCTATCTTAGACTAATAATGTCTTCTTTTATTACTTTATTCCATTCTTTATTACTTACACTAGTAATGCCCGCGCATACCTCTGCTCCTCCACTTTTATCTGCACTTCTTGTACAGATGATTTCTGATCTTTTTCTCTTAAATACAAAAGTTATTATTATAAAAATGTGCAGCCGGGCTCGGTGACTCAGCCTGTAATTCCGTGCCTTTGGGAGGCTGAGGTGAGTGGATTGCCTGAGCCTGCAGGTTCGAGACCCGCCTGGGCAACTTGGCGAGACCTCATCTCTACAATAAATAAAAAATGAGCCGGGTGTGGTAGCGTGCATCTGTAGTTCCAGCTACTTGGAAGGCTGAGGTGGGAAGGATCGCCTGAGCCCAGCAGGTCGAGGCTGCGGTGGCCGGGAGCGGCCACTGCACTCCAGTCTGGGCGACAGAGTGAGACTCCAACTCAAAAAAAAAAAATGTGCAGGATGACCAGGCTTGGTGGGTCAGCCTGTCATCCCATCACTTTGGGATTGCCTGAGCCCGCAGGTTCGAGACCCACCTGGGAAACTTGGTGAGACCTTGTCTCTACAATAAATCAAAAAAATTAGCTGGGCATGGTAGCATGGCACCTGTAGTTCCGGCTACTTGGGAGGCTGAAGTGGAAGGATGGCCGGAGCCCAGCGGGTCAAGGCTGTGGTGGCCGGGAGCGTGCCACCACACTCCAGTCTGGGCGACAGAATGAGACTCCAACTCAAAAAATAAAATTAAATAAAAATGTGCAGGCATCTAACTATTATATCTTCTAGTATGTTCAGGTCTGAAATTTTATATAATAAAATAGATACTTTATTGTAAGTGTGTTTTATTTGTATTTATATTACAGTTCAGCATTACGTTTATTTCTTTTAAATTATGTAGATTTTATTATATGTGATTTTTATCCCAGGGTATGAAAAAGATTAACTCTATACTTATTTTACTGAGAAATCTTTAAGCATCTAGATTTTAATCAAAAGTCTCAGTACAAACTTCCAATTCTGTCCAATGCAGATTAACTGATATCAGATTTATTGATAAATCAACTATGAAGACTGGGGGAAATATTCAAAACATCAATTTTGAGCTAACCTACAAAAATCAGCAGAAAGTTTCAGTACTTTAAACATGTGAATGCACACAAGGTGAGCCCCACGTTTACCCAGGCTTTCCCCTTGGGAACATTTTCTAGGCCATGGCACAGGAAGGTGGAGCCCAAATAGGTGCAGTTGTCTTGCTGAATGGAAGAGGCAGGCATTAGGTCTGAAACTGTCAAAGTGTCAGGGGAGGGGAGGTGGGATTGGCAGTTGAGGGAAACTGCTAGGGGAGGGAGGGCCATACCTCATCAACAAGGGTACCTGCATAATCGATGTTTGTATACCTAACCCTGAATTGTACCCCACATCTTTAAAACAAAGGAAAAAAAGAAACTGTCAAATAACTGGAATTTGGTGGGCACACTGACAGAAATAAGGAAGCCATGGAGCGGGAACCTCCAAAGTCTACAAAGAAATTTCCTTTCGTTTCTTTGCTGAATCCTGGGCATGTCCTTTGACACAACTTCAGAAGACATAACAGAAGGTAGATTCTAGGGAGACAGAGAGAGCTAAGCATAGATTCTAGATATTACACAAGGTGGTGAATGACAAAGTTCAGGCATCGCCAGGAGAGGGACACCTTTTTGATCATTTCTGGCCTGCAAAGGATACCCCAGAAATGCTACAGCTTAGAATTAAGGACCATGAACTATGGCTACATGCTACACATAGGAATAAGAAGGAAGGAGAAAAAGACCTACCCTAACAAAGCCTAAAGTCAAGATCTAAGAGGATCTGCATGATTTTAATTGCCTTACAGAGCAAAACTTGATACTCTTTAGAGGAGAATAACTAAATCCATATCTATAACATATCATTCACAATTTGAGCATATAATTTTAAAAAGCATTTGATATAAATAGAAATAAATACTGATAAAGAAATGATGAAATGATCAATAGAAGCAGATCTAGAGAAGATTCACATATTAGAATTAGCAGACAAGGACCTCAAAGTAGCTATAGTTAATATGTTAAGAAAATAGAGTAAAAGATAGACAAAATGAGTTAAAAGATAGAACACTTCAAGAAAATTATAATCTATAAAAGAAAATAAATATTCTAAAACTGAAAAATATAATATTGGAAAATAAAACCAATTAGATAGGTTTAATAGCAGCCTGAACATAGCAGAAGACAGAGTTTATGAATTAATATTTTTTAAAATCTATAGAAAATTTCCAAACTGACATACAAAGAGGAAAAAATGAAAATAAAAGAACAGAGTTCAGGAGAGATATAAGATGTGATCACAAGGACTAATACATATATGCATATTGGGGTATACTAGAAAAGGAGAAGAAATAAAATGGAACAGAGGCATATTTGAATAAATAATGGTCAAGAAGTTTACAACAAATAAAACATATCAAGATTCTCAAAAACCCCAAACAGAATAAATACAAAGGAAGCCTCATCGAGGAAAATCATAATTAAACTGTTGAAATCAAATATAAAAAAGTGTTTACATCATCCAGAAAAAATAGATACATGACTATCATGTAAGCAATTTTTCTTAGTTGGGCACAGTGACCCATGCCTGCAATCCCAACACTTTGGGAGGCCAAGGTGGTAACATAGCTTGAGGCCAGAAGTTCAAAACAAGCCAGACAACATAGCGAGACCTCATCTCTACAAAAAATCAAAAAGTTATCTGCTCATGGTGGCATGTGCCTGTAGTCTCAACTACTCAGGAGGCTGAGGTGGAAAGATTGCCTGAGCCCAGGAGGTCGAGGCTGCGGTAAGTCATGAACATGTCACTGCACCCCCGCCTAGGTAACAAAGTGAGACCCTGACTTAAAAAAAAAAAAAGATGCCTGACTACTAACAGAATGCTTCTAAAGATAACAAGGGAAAAAGCTAGTAGGGAAAATTAAACATTATATAATAATTAAAAACATTTGATTACTAACAATGAAGGAAAAATTTAAAAGGAGCTAAGAATACTTGGGACAAGTAGAAAACAGGTGGCACCATGGAAGATTTCAATCATATTGGTTATTATACTAAAAGTAAATAGACTAAAAAGTCAACTAAAAGGCAAAGATTGTCACTCTAGATTTTCTTTTAAAACCATTGCTATAGCACACCTCATAACAAGGGTACCTGCATAATGAACATTTGTATACTTAAGCCTGAATTGTACTCCATATCTTTAAAATATAAATAAATAAATAAATAAAATAAAACATAGCTATAAACTGTTTCCAAGATAAACATTTTAAACTTAAAGATACTGACAGGTTAAAAGTAAAAAAGATGAAAAAAAAGTATAAAGGATGGAAAAAACATGCCATCCAAGCACTAACCAAATGAAAACCGATGTCTACATTAATATCAGATGAAGCAAACTTTAAAGCAAGAAGCATTATGGGAGTTATGGAGGAATATTTCAAAACGATGAAAGGTAAAATCAAAAGTACCTTATAATAATGTTGAATTTGAGTGCATAAGTCAACAATAACAGAACTAAAAGGAGAAATAGGCAAATCCTTCATTAGAGTTGGATATTTTAATAGACCTTCTCGGTAACTGATAGATGAACAGATACAAAACTATATAAAGATATTTGAACAAAATAATGAGCCAACATAAGCTGATTGACAGTGATGGAATACTACTGAATGCACATTCTTTCCAAATACAAGTGGCATATTTATCAGACTAAACCATACCTTGGGTCATAAAGTAAGTTTGAAAAATTTCAACATATTTAAATTATATAGTGTGTCTTCTCTGACTGATGTAGAATCAAATTTGAATACAAATCAATAGATAAATATTTAAAACTCCAAATATTTGGAAAATTAGGCACATATTTCTAAATACCTAGTGGATCAAATAACATCATGAAAGAAATTAGAAAATATTTTAAGTTGAGTAATAGTGAAAATACAACATACAAAACTAGTAGAATGTAGCTAAAACAATATTTAGAGAGAAGCCAATACCTTTAAATACAAATATTATAGGGAAAGAAAAACTGAAAATCCATGAACTACACTTCCAACACTGGTGGCAATTTTTTAAAAAGTTAAGTAGAAGGGAAAAAAAATTAAAGAAATAGAATAGAAATAAATGAAAAAAATCTGCAAAAGTAAGCATTGGTTATTTTTAAAAATTAGTAGAATTGTTAATCCTCTTGCAAAATTGATTAACAAATGAATTTTAAAAAACAAATTACCAATACCAGGAATAAAAGAGGGGATATCTCAGAAGAGCCAAAAGATATTAAAGGGCTAAAAAGTTAATACTATGAGCAACCTTATGCCAATGAACTCAACAACTTGAGTGCAATGGGCAAATTCCTCAATAACACAATTACCAAAACTAATACAAGAAGAAATAGAAAATCTGAATAGCCCTATATCTGATTTTTAAATGAACTTGTAATTTAAAACCCTCCACAAAGAACTCCAGCCCAAATAGCTTTACTAGTAAATCCTATTAAATAATTGTGAAAGAGACAGCATCAGTTTTACTATATCCTGTTTTCTAAAGTCTTGTACATTTGGACTGCATCTTTTCACTGTATCCTTTTACAAAAGAATATACTGGTGATGATGGTTACATAGCATTATTAATATAATTAATGCTACATTAAAATGATTAAAATGGTAAATTTTACGTTACCTGTATTTTCCACAATAAAAACTATGCTTGGGCTGGAAAACAAATACAGAAAATCAACAAAAAGTCCATTAGGCTGGAAGATAGTAGGATAGTTCTGGTTCTGCCACTAGCTAACTGTGTGTTGACTGTGTGTTGGTAAGCAAGTCACTGCCTCTCTGTGGGTGTCAGGTACTTCATGCATAAAGTGAGAGGGTTAGATCAAATAATTTCTAGGCTTTCTCCCTAACCTATTACTCTAAACGTTAATGTAAGATAACACAATTTATAAAGGACTCTACTTTCTGATTTTATGCTCTTCTTTTGCCCTCTAAGGGCAAAAGAGAAAAAGACAAAATCTCTAAGATTTTAAGGGCTTAGAGATATTTTTAAAAGTTTTATGTACAGTGCTTGATCTTAATCTTCAAAGGTGACCTTTGAACTGGATTGGTAGTCTATTCTTGGAGGACCCTAAAAATTAAAGCCTATAAAGTCTTGATTGGTTTTGAGAAACTATTTAGCCCTTATGTGTAAATATAAGAGAAAGGTTTTCAAACACTTCTAAAAATAGTAAGAAATTAAGAAAACCTTTCAATGCTGGGATAAAAGGCTTAATTTTGATCATATATGGCCTTGATCTTGTGTTTGATATTACTTGATATTAATCTTCTATGGCCTTAATCCAAACTCATTTTCTAACCATAATTCTTAATGCATAGTACTGTTGTTCATGACATTGGTTATACAATAACTATCCTCTCCATAATGTAAACATTATGCTTCCCATGTCTGGGTGAATCATTCCAGAAACGTTAGCTTATGAAAAATCCGATAAAGACAGTCTGAGCTTTTAGAAGCCAAGGACCACCTGGACTCATTGGAGACCACTGAGCATTAAATAAGAGAAGTTTCTCGTGCACGGATACAGAAAAGGAGTTAATCCACAGGAAGGAGAGCATTCTAAATTAAGAACACCTTTGGGAATTAAACGGACAAGAGAAAGGTCATCATTGTTTTCTAGAAGATGAATACTTGTGTCAGCCATATAATCCAATATTTGAGATTTACAAGTCGGGGACTGTCTGTACACACAGACGTCTATGTGTCATCTGTGAAAAAATATATCTGTGTGTTAATTTCTTGGGGCGGCCATAACATTTACCAAAGGTCAAAAGTAGTTTCCCTGCCCTAGACCAGCAAGGGTCCATGGGCTTGAGCAATGGGGACTGAATCTAGCGTCCACAGATTTTGTCAAAATCTTCTATATCAGCCATGCATTTTGTCAAAATCTCCACAGATTTTGTCAAAATCTTCTATATCAGCCATGCATTTTGTTTCTGGAAGGGTCTAGAACTTTCATCAGTACCATAAACTCAATGGCTTAAGAACAACAGAAACATGTTGTCTCACGGTCTGGAGACTAGAAGTCTGAGACCAAGGTCACCAGGGCCACGCCCCCTCTCAAGACCCTAAGAAAAGATCTGTTCCAGGCTTCTGGTGGTCCCCTGGCTTAGGGCAGCATTCCTCCAATCTTCATGAGGAGTTCTTTTTATGAGGACACCAGTCATATTGGATTAGGGGCCCATCCAACTCCTGTGTGACCTTATCTTAGCTAATTACATCTGTAACAACCCCGTTTCCAAGTAAGGTCACGTTCTAAAGTACTGAGAGTTAGAACTTCAGCGCATGAATTTGGGGGAGGCGTGGGGGAGGGAGACACAATTCACCCCCTAACAATATCCTACCAGGGGAGTTGGGGGCAGGATCGGCAGTAGTGGGAAACTGCCAGGAGAGGAGGGGTACATCTCATCAATAAGGGTACCTGCATGATGAACATGTATATACCTAACCCTGAATTGTACCCCACATCTTTAAAATAAAAAATTTAAAAATAAAAAAACAACATTCTAGGCTGGGTGTGGTGGCTCAAGCCTGTAATCCCAGCACTTTAGGAGGCCAAGGCGAGAGGATTGCCTGAGCTCAGGGATTCGAGACCAGCCTGGGCTATTTGGTGAGACCTCATCTCTACAATAAATCAAAAAATTAGCTGGGCATGGTGGCATGTGCCTGTAGTTCCTGTTGGAAGACTGAGGCGGAAGGATTGCCTGAGCCTAGCAGGTCGAGGCTGCCATGGCCGTGGGTGACAGAGACTCTGACTCAAAAATTAAAAAAAAAAAATACAAAACATCCTAAAGAGATGAGGGCAGACATTTGTATACAAGGATGTTTATCACAATGTGCTCTATAATATTAAAGAGCAGAAACAGTCTTACCTGTCTAATAACTCTGCTCCAAATACTCCACGGAATATCCATGATGGAATCCTGGATTTGAAGAATACATAATGCCATGGAGGCATGTTCATGACAGAATATTGAATTCATAAAGTACAGAGCCATTTTGTATTGTCAAGGTAAAAGTTTGAAAAGAATAATGGTAGGTTACACACCAAAATGTAAATGGTTATTTTCTCCAGGTTGGGCAGGGTGGGGGACATTTTATTTATTTTTTATTTCTTTATAAAATTTTTATTTATTTTGCTATTTCATTTTTATACTTCCCATATTACTTGTTACACCAAGAAAACCAAACATTTATTACGATAAAAGCGAGCCCCAAAGGGGAGGCAGCATTCTGCCCCAGAAGCCAGCCTTCAGCTTGTGGCTTTCCTGACAGGCCCTGCAGATCCTGATTGGCCTGGTCCACATCGGCCTCGGTTCCATCCTGGGGACCGTTCTCTTCACTGACTATGTGTCTGTCTTGTTCTTTGGAGGCTTTCCCTTCTGGGGAGGCATCTGGGTACGTAACTCGAGTCACCCTGCAAATGAGTTCCCAGAAGGGACCAAGGCGCTCAAGGCCGGCCACCGTGTCAAGTTGTGCAACTGTGCCCTGCAGAAGGTTCTCAGCCCCTGGGCCCTAGGGGATGAAAATCCAGCCCAGGCCTTGTTCCCCGAGTGGATTAGTTTGCTAAGGCCGCCGGAATTAAGCACCATGAACTAGGTGAACAACAGCCATCTGTTATCTCGCAGTTCTGGAGGCTGAAAGTCTGAGATCCAGATGCCAACAGGGTCGCTTCCTCTGAGGGCTCTCTCCTTAGCTTGCAGATAGCCACCTTTTCCCTGTGTCCTCACGTGGTCTTCTCTCTGTGCCTGTGTCCTCATCTCCTCTTCTTATAAGGACACCAGTCATACTGGATTGGAGTTCTACCCTAATGACCTAATTTAACCTTAATTTCCTCTTTAACAACCACATATTCGGCCAGGCTCAGGTGCAGTGGCTCACCCCTGTAATCTCAGCACTTTGGGAGGCTGAGGTGAGAGGACTGCTTGAGCCCAGGAGTTTGAGACCAGCCTGGGCAACATAGTGAGAACTCGTCTCTAGAAAAAAAAAAAACCTGGGTGTGGTGGTGGTGTGCACCTGTGGTCCCAGCTACTCAGGAAGCTAATGCAGAAGGACACCTGAGCCCAGGAGGCTGAGACTACAGTGAGCCATGACCACGTCACTGCATTCCAGTCTGGGTGACAGAATGAGACCCACACACAGTCACACTCTGAGGTACTAGGGGCTAGGTCTTCAACATAGAAAACTTGGAGAGGTGGACACAATTCAGCGCGTGATATCCAGTTACAGCCCTGCAAGGTGACATCATCCCTAAAAGAACACCTTTTCTGAACTCACACACGAAAACACGCCCATGTGTAAAAAGAGGTGCTGGGAATAGCCCCCAAGTACTGTTCAACACAGGCCCACAAGCCTGAGCTCCCAGAGACAAACATTTACCAAGGGTCACAAGTGGCTTCCCTACCATAGACCAGCGACGGTCCATGGGCTTGAGCAATGGGGACTGAATCTAGAGTCCACAGATGGACCTAGGGGGCGTGTGCAACCTTGATCCCTTGCATGTGCTGTTCACAATAGAGTTCACACTCCTATGAGAATCTGATGCTGCCACTGATCTAACAGGAGGTAGAGCTCAGGCAGTAATGCAGGTGATGGGGAGTGGCTGTAAATACAGATGAAGCTTTGCTTGCTTGCCCACCGCTCACCTCCTGCTATGCCACTCAGTTCCTAACAGACCATGGACCAGTACCAGTCCATGGCCTGGGGGCTGGAGACCCCTGGCCTAGAGTTATCCCCCACTTCCACAGCCACACGAGGCCTGCAAAATGGCAGGACTGTGTTCCCAGAGCGTCTCTGACTGCCTGCTCCTCCTTGTTCCCATCTGCAGCTCTTCCACCAAGGACTTGGTCTTTCCTCTGCTCTCCACTGACCTCAACTCAGAACTCAGTCCCTTTTTCCCTCCACACCCTCACAAAACACCTGTGTCCATATCTCCGACCTCCATAAAGTGTGGGGCTGTGGAGAGGACAAGCATCTTGGCCACACAACACTCACCATTTGGCGCCGGACTCTCCCGAGAGCCAGTGAGCCACAGGCAGCCATGGCATCTGTAGTAGCCCACTGGCTGAACCCACTCCCACCAGGCCACTCAGTTCCCATCAGCCTTTCTCTCCTTTTTCTACAGAGCAGTAGTGTTCATTGCTGCCTTCTTGACTCCAGGACTATCTTTCTATTTCCCAAAGCTCACGAATGTCCTCTTCTGAAGCAAAGGTACTCAATAGGGCTAAGGAAGACATCCAAACTCCAACCCTTCCCATCAAGTCTCTATAAATGAAAGGGTGTGAAACTGAGATTTGTTTTCCACTTATAGGGAAATATGGCACTTGCCTTGGGAGGCAGAAGAAGCTAGAATAAGTTTTCGTTGTAAATAACTATTTCCACTCCATGGTACACACATCTACCCTGAGTGGGGTGGGTGAGGGTTAAGAACATGGTGTTTGAAGTCAAGATGCCTGGACTTGATTCTCAGCTCTGCTACCTACTGGATGATGTCGGGTGAGCCATTCAGTCTCTAAGTCTCAGTCTGCCCATTGATAAAATGGGAAGAACAATCGTGTTTGATGGGCCATCACATGGTAAAATAAAGCAAAGTTAAACAAGCACTTGGCAGGCTAAGCGCGGTCGTTCGCACCTGTAATCCCAGTACTTTGGGAGTCCCAGACAGGAGGATTGCTTGAGCTCAGGAGTCTGAGACCAGCCTGGGCAACACAGCAAAGCTTCGTCTTTACAAAAGATAAAAATTTTCTTAAAAAAACTAGCCAGGTGTGGTGGCGTGCACTTATAATCCCAGCTACTCAGAATGTTGAGGTGGAAGGATTGCCTGATCCCAAGAGGTCAAGGCTGCCATGAGCCATGATCATTGTGATAATGAAACTGCACTCCAACCTGTGCAACAGAGTGACACTTCAACTCAAAAACAAAACAAAACAAAACAAAAACAAGCACTAGGAGGGCAGTGATGGTGAGTGATTGCCGATGGGTATGGGCTTTCTCTTCAGGGTGATGAAAATGTTCAAAACTTAGATTCTGGTGATGGTTGCGCAACTCAGAAAAATAATCAGATGGTACGCTTTTAATAGGTGAATTGTATGGTGTGTGGCTCTCAATGAAACCTTTTTTGAAAAATATCACTTCCTATAGTGCTCAGTCAAGTATAGCTTTCACTGAATCATAGTTCACGACCTCTCAGACCACTGTTGCTACCACACTGGGCAAAGAGAAGCAGGAAATGCCTTCAACTCATGCTTGCAAAACAGCCGATTTGAGATGGAATGCAAGCAGTCTACATCAGTCATCCTGTTGAATTTTCAGCACCAGAGGGACAAAACACTTATCTGAGTAACTAAAAAGCATGTGCCCAGATGTATAGACAGGCAAGGACACAGAGGGTGGCTAGGCATGGTGGCTCGCGCCTATAATCCCAGCACTTTGGGAGGCCGAGGTGAGAGGATTGCCCGAGCCCATGGATTCGAGACCAGCCTAGACAATTTGGTGAGACCTCATCTCTACAACAACAACAACAAATAATAATAATAATAATAATAATAAATTAGCCAGGCATGGTGGCGTGTGCCTGTAGTTCCAGCTACTTGGAAGACTGAGGCAGAAGGATCGCCTGAGCCTAGCAGGTCAAGGCTGCAGTGGCCGTGAGCGTGCCACTGCCCCTCCAGCCTGGGCGACAGAGTGAGATTCCAATTCTAAATAGATAAATGAAAGCAGAAGAGATGCTGGTGATCCCTGCTGGGGGCCAGCCCCTGCAGAGAGATTTAGGGGGTCCCTGGGAGATGTGGTGGCGTCGGCGATTATTCTGAAGAAATAAGGAGAAAGAAAGAGACGGGGGGGGGCGGAGAAAAAAAGAGACTAGACTCTGTCTAGTGCAGAAGCCGTTTAATGGGACAAACCGTGAGTCTTTTATCCCAAATTTTCACAGGTTAAATCACAAGACTTTCGCGTGAACACAAAGCCAGGTGGATGAGGGAGCATCGCCCACCCACCAGGTGTTTCCTTAGGCATGAAGAAGGATAATCCCAATTAAATCAAAAGACATTTACATGAACACAAAGCCAGGTGGATGAGGGGCGTCCCCCACCCACCAGGTGTTTCCTCAAGCATGAGGAAGGATGATCCCAAAATTATCTCACTGTTCTTCATGCTTGGTTAATATTCCTCAAAAGCAATACTACAATTCTAATATCATAATATTCTAATAATCAATAACTTTTAAAATTTATGCATACACAACACCTAATAACTAACTTAAATCCTAATTTCTATTTTACGCTAATTCTACCTACACTATAGAAACTCTTAATTATAGCCCAAACCAGTTCCTAAAGAATGTGGTCCAGTCAAAAGATCATGCTGGGCCGTTTCTAGGAACAATTGATTACAATCTCTTAACAAAATGGCTGTTCTAAAATCTTATATATTTATTTTAACTTCCATAAATTTTCTAATTCCTAATTCTAATATATAAAGCTGATCATCAGCAATAAAGCTTCTAAAAATAAAACCCAAATATAAAATGTAAGTTGTACTAAGGCCAAAACCACAATAGTAGAAAGTGGGAACAATGAAATTTCTAAAGTTAGCTGTATTCTTATTAAACCTCAAAGTATCATGTTTGATCATCTTGAACTAACATAATTCACTGACGTAGCATAACCTATTCTACAATACTTTCTATGAATAAAATAAATTCAATTTCTATAATAAATGGAAAAACCCTACACTAACTGTAGCTAAAACCGGTTTAAAAGAATGCAGCCCAGTCCAAAGTATGTGCTAGGCCCTAGGAATGTGGCTCAGCCCAAAGTTCGTGCTGGACCATTTCTAGTAACTCTAGATAATTATCTATATTATTAAGGTTGAAACAGCACTTTATATGTATATACTAATTCTACAAATATACTTTTAAATCTTATAAAGAAGTTTGTACTGTATTAAAGGCTCCCAAATGTGACCTGAGTTTGAACTGTGTTAAGTTTAAAGCCGAAACCGCAGTCTGTGAGAAACGGGAACAATGGACTCCTAAAGTAAGCCATGCCTGTTGTACTCTCAGAGCTTCATGCTTAGATCATCAAAGTTCCTTCTAATGAGATGTGCTAAATAGCAAAAAAGGAGGAGGGAATGGGCCAACAGCTCCTGAACACATCCTAGTGGTCTCAGGGTCCACAGCCCACCTTGATCCATAACGTTCAGGTGGGCCTCCGTGGCTGGCTCCCAACATCCCTCCCTTCCCCGCTCCAGAACTCCCAAACCTAACTGAAACCTGGTATAAAAACTGTAAATGACAGAGTGTGCTCATGGGAAAGTAAAAGACAGGGAAATAAGTCAGCATTTATTGAGCATCTGCTATGTGCAACACACACTGAATGCCAGATGTAGGACATAAATCATCTCGTGACGTGTGGTTTGGCAAGAGCTGTAAATCTTCCCATTTTTCAGATGAAGAAATAGAGATTTTTGAGACGTTAATAACTTACCCAAGGTCTCATGAGTTTCAGGCCAGAAATTAAAACCAGTTCTCCTGGATCCTGGATATTTCAGGATGTTTATCCCACATCAGTGTCCTGTTATTTATTGCTTCCCCTGTTGCGCTGATGGTCCCAGCAAAGGAACCAAGGGTGTGTGGCCAGAACCACGGGAGCCTGAGGAAGGGCGCCCTAAGTCCTGACCTCGTTCTAAACCCCACTATTCTGCACCAGTTTGTCATTTCAGGATCTCTCACGGTGGCAGCCGAAAGTCAGCCAAGTTCTTCTTGCCTGGCAAGTCCTGAGATGCGCTCTCCTAGTTGGGGGCCTCCAGGACAGTGTCAGAAAGGGGGAAGTGAGGCTCACACACAAGCCCTCCTCCATCCTTGCACCTCTCATCACCAGGCTCGGGACGTGCGCGCGCATTCTCGCTCATGCATGCCGGCCACGTGGCCTGGGCCGGGAGTCACAAGCGGGAAAGACCCCAGAGGGTTCGGGGGAGGGAACCTGACTGTACTGAAGGCACAGTACAATGGAGGCAGAGAGAGGCAGAGAGAGAGAGAGAGAGAGAGAGAGAGAGAGAGAATAGCTTTCCTGGGAGGCCCTCACTTGGGGAGGTACAGAGCTCCCCAGGGCCCAAGCTGCTTTCTAGGAGAGCAAGGAGCCAAGGGTGCCTGTGGCCAGTTCTGCAAGGAAGCCAGGCCCAGGCACCTGCTTCCCAGAGGAATCCAGCCAACAGAGCTCTAGTCATCAGCTCCTCGAAGCTCTGTGCTCCCTGAGCAAGGGACCAAGAAGAGGAAACTTTCTCTTTCTCTTACAGGTAGTTTATCCAGGGTAAGGGGCCTCAGGGTGACCAAGTCCCTACAACCTGATGAGATATATTTTAAAATCTCCAAAGGGAAGCTCAGAATGTCTGAGCGTATCTCTCTGCACATGGTCCAGATTCAGGGAGCATCTGAGCCCATCATACCCCAAGATACTCAGGCAGAGACTCCTGCCTGCATTTTATGGGATAAGTAGGTCGAATGTTCCCCAAAGATGATTCTGGGAAATGTTTCCCCTATAATATGCTCTATAAAGATAGTTAGGTGAACTTGGAAAGATCTCTTTTGTCCTCTCTCTGGAAAATCTGCAATCCTCATTAAAGTCTCTGAGAAGTACCGCAGCAAAGATGGGTTTACCCTTGTTCAATCCAACTTTTTACAAAGCTAGGTTACCCCAAAACCATTTTGCACAGAACACCTCCTTACTTGCTACAGAAGTAGGGTTCCAGGGATTCACATTAAGAAACACTTTTTGAAGCAAAGTTACAGAGATGAATGATCGTGATAGTTACACAACAGTATGAATGTGTTTAATAACACGGAACTGTAACACTTAAACATGGTGACCACGGTAAGTTTTATGCTGTATATATATGTTACAAGTTGGGGAGGGAAAAAAAAACGCGTGTTGAATCTCTGCTCATCTCAGCTATAATAGTGTTTCTCTTCCACCCTGACCCGCTGTATCTTCTTCATTGGGTGCCAGCGTGGGTTTGAACATCATCAGTGCACTCTGTTCCACAGTTGGCGTCATACTCTTCATCACAGATCTAAGTATCGCCAGCACAGCACATCCCATGACTATTTTCCTTAGAACACCTGGAGTGTGGTGAGTATCGCTCTCGGCCAAAGATCTCCAGGTTCTGACTTTATTGTATTTAGAAATCTGCCAGAAGGAGCTTAACAACTAAGCTTCGTCAAGAACATGGTAGGAAAAGGAGGTGCTCTTGGAATCAGAACAAAGTTTAAAGACCTTGACCCATACATAGCTTTAAGCACATGACTTTCTTATTCTTGGTTTCTGCCTTTACAAAACAGTTCCTTCCTTACGGCATTGCTGAGATAATTAAGTGTGACTGTACAAGGAAGCGTATGTACCACCAACCAGCCCTTCTCCTCGCGTTCTCTGCCTTCCTGCCCATTCCTACAGACCAGGAATTGGCAAGCTTTTTCTGTGAAGGGCCAGATAGGAAATATTTAGGGCTGTGAAGCCCTATAGCATCCACAGAAAGTTCTGGGCGTAGTAGCTCACACCTGTAACCCCAGCAGCGCTTAAGAGCCTGAGGTGGGAGGATTGCTTGAGCCCAGGAGTTTGAGACCAGCCTGGGCAATATAGCATGACCTCTTTTCTACAAAAAATTAAAGAATTAGCCAGGTGTGGTGATATGCATGCCCCTAGTCCTAGCTACTTGAGAGGCTGAGGTGGGAGGACTGCCTGAACCCAGGAGGCTGAGGTTTTGGTGAGCCATGAACAAGCCACTGCACTCCAGCCTGGGTGACAGAGTGAGACTTTGACTCAAAAAAAAAAAGCTAAACAAATGATCATGGCTGAGGTCCATTAACATTTTATTTGCAAAATAGGGAGCAGGCAGGATTTGACCTGTGGACCATAATTTTCTCACCTATACTATAGACCAGCACTGTCCGATAGAAATATGCAAGTCACATATGTGACTTTAAATTTTCTACTTGCCACTTTTTTATAAAAGAGGGAAAAAGAAGGATAACTGAAATTAATTTTAATAATATATTTTATTTAACCCAGTATATTCAAATATTGTCATTTCAACATGTAATCAATGTAGAAACTTGATTTGCTATCTTGCATTTGGGGAATCAAGTCTTTAAGGAGAGAATTGAAAACAGGAAGTTGCAGGCAATTCTTTTGAATTTTGGTGTTTAAAACAATTTTTTTTTTTTTTTTGAGTCAGAGTCTCACTCTGTTGGCCAGGCTGGAGGGCAGTGGCACAGTCATGGCTCACCACAGCCTCAACCTGCTGGGTTCAGACTATCCTTCCACCTCAGCCTTCCTAGTAGCTGGAACTACAGGTGTGCACCAACATGACCAGCTATTTTATTTTTATTTTTGTATTTTGTAGAGATGGTGTCTCGCTATGTTGCCTGCCCAGGCTTGTCTCAAACTCCTGGGCTCAAGTACTCCTCCTGCTTCAGCCTCCCAAAGTGCTGGGACCACATGTATGAGTCACTGTGCTCAGTCGACAATTCTTTTTAAGGATTTGTCTGAAAGAGGAACAGAGAAATAAGGCACGGGGCGAGGTGGCTTCTGCCCCAATAGGGCATAGGCCTCACAGTGTGAGGCTGTGTGAGGTGGCTCACACCTATAATCCCAGCACTTTGGGAGGCCGAGGTGAGAGGATTGCCTGAGCCCACGGGTTCGAGACCTGCCTGGGCAACTTGGTGAGACCTCATCTCCACAATAAAAAAAAAAAAAAAAAAGTAGCTGGGTGTGGTGGTGCATGCCTGCCTGTAATTCCAGCTACTTGTGGAAGGCTAAGATGGAAGGATTGCCTGAACCCAGCAGGTCGAGGCTACAGTGGCAGGGAGCGTGCCACTGCCTTCCAACCTGGGTGACAGAGGATGACTCCGACTTAAAAAAAAAAGAAAGAAAGAAAAGAAATCCAGTGTGTGTCTGCACTTAAAGCACATCTTGATTTGGGACTAGCAGCCTCTCAAATGTCCAAAAGCCACACAGGAATCGTGGCTACTGAAATGGACAGAGCAGCCACAGATGAGCTACCTGCATCCCATGGAAATTCAACCCCCTCATCTGTGCCTCTCCCACCCACTCAAGTTCTCCTCCCCCTCCCCACCCCGTCTCTCTTCCACATCATCAGTCTTCCCCCTTTACTGAATGAAGCGTATCCATCAGCATTAAACATGCTCTTGTTCCTTCCAGCTTAAATAGCAAACCAGCCATGCCAAGCACGGTGGCTCATGCCTGGAATCCCAGCACTATGGGAGGCAGAGGCAAGAGGATCGCCTGAGCCCAGGGGTTCAAGATCAGCCTGGGCAACTTGGCGAGACCTTGTGTCTACAATAAATCAAAAAAATTAGCCAGGCATGGTGGTGTACACCTGTAGGTCCAGCTACTTGAAAGGTTAAGGCAGAAGGATCACCTAAGCCCAGCAGGTCGAGGCTATGGTGAGCCGTGATCATGCCACTACACTCCAGCCTGGGTCGCAGAGTGAGACCCTGACTCAAAAAACAAAAGTAAAAAATTCCTTCTCTGAGAAGCGGAACTTTTGTTACTCTCACAGTTCATCTAGGGTAAGGGGCCTCAGGGAACCTCCCCCTGGTCGCTACTGCCCTATGCCCTATTTCTCTCCTTAAAAAGAATTGTCAGCTGAGCACAGTGGCTCATGCGTGTGATCCCAGCACTTTGGAAGACCAAAGTGGGAGGATTTCTTGAGCCCAGGAGTTTGAGATAAGCCTGGGCAACATAATGAGATCCCGTCTCTACAAAATACAAAAATTAAAATAATAAAAAAAAATAACTAGGCATGGTGGTGCACGCCTGTAGTTCCAGCTACTAGGAAGGCTGAGGTAGAAGGATCACCTGAGCCCAGCAGGTCGAGGCTGTGGTGAGCCATGACCGTGCCACTGTCCTCCAGCCTGCGCAACAGAGTGAGACCCTGACTCAAAAACAACTGCTTTTTTTAAACACAAAAATTCAAAAGAATTGCCTGCAACTCCCCGTCTTCAATTCTCTCCTCTTGTAGTCTCTCCGAACCTGATCACTCAGACTTTTGGCCTCACTCCTCCAAACACCAGCTCTGTTCCCAGTCCCCAACCACCTCTCCTCTCTGATGGACTCTGCTTGGCTTCCAGGCTCCCCACTCACTGGTCGTTCTCTTCTCTGTCTTCTCTGCGGGTCTTTCTCTTTTTCCCAGTCTCTTAGGCTCAACCGTCAGTTCCCTAGTTTTCGTCCTCTCCTCACTGCCCTGTCAATCTCATCCAGTCTGGTGGCTTGAAACACCTTCTCTGGGCCAGTGACTCCCAGATGCATGGCTCCAGCCAGGTCCTCTCTGTCCCATGCCAGTCGGGCAGGTCCGATAGTCAGTTCAACAGCTCGAAACGCATACCTCCGGGTCTCATCTCCAGATCTCACTCCCAAACCTTCCTCCTCGGTTTTCCTGATCCCACGGACGGCAGCTCTATCCTTCCAGTTGCTCGGGACAAAACCTTGGAGTCATCATGGATGCCTCTCTTTCTCTCTCACCTCACAGCCAATTCCTCGGACAATCCTGCTGGGCTTACTTTCAAAATGCATCCAGAATCCAACCATTCCCCGCATTCCCGCGTTGTCCTGAGCCACCACACCTCCCGCCTCATCCCGGACCTCCTAACTACCCCTCCCCCATCCCTGCCTCCTCCCTGCTGTTCTCAGCAGGGCAGCTGGAGGAATGCTCTGGAAGTGTGAGATCCCATCACTTCTCTGTTCAAAACCTTCCACTGCTGCCACTTCACTCAGAAAAAAGCCAGCAACCCAAAGGCGCTGGGGCTGTGGTGCCCTCGGCCCCAAGCTCTGCCATGCCCCTCTGGCTCTCCCCCCACAAACCTCTTTGATGTTTTCACAGATATTTCCACCTTTTCCACATTCAGGCTTGGAAGGTCCGCTCTGACTGGGATGCTGTTCCCTCAGATATCCCATGGCTCCCTGTCCCTCTACCCCTCCCTCCCACCCTCCAACCCGAAGGGGCCCAACTGCCCAGCAATCACCTCCCTGGAGAGGCCCACCGGAAAACCAGCACCCACCCCATCCTAGCATCCCTGCTTCCTTCCCCCTAACCCATCTTCCCTGTGGCCTAAGCATCTTCTAACACCTTCTGCAGTGAACTTAAGCGTTCCACTTCCTGCTTCCTGCCCGCCCCCTCCCACTGGAATATGGGTTTCTTAAGGGCAGGGATGTTTTCTGTTGCGCTCACTGAGGTACCTCAAATACCTAGAAGTGCGCCTGGCACAGTGTAGACACCCTGCAACCTGCCTGGGCAACTTGGTGAGACCTCATCTCTACAATAAATCCAAAAAAAAAAAAAAGTAGCTGGGCGTGGTGGTACATGCCTGCCTGTAATTCCAACTACTTGGAAGGCTGAGACAAAAGGATTGCCCGAGCCCAGCAGGTCGAGGCTACAGTGGCAGGGAGCGTGCCACTGTCCTCCAGCCTGGGCAACAGAGTAGGACTTCGACTAAAAAAAAAAAAGAAAAGAAAAAGAAATCCAGTGTGTATCTGCACTTAAAGCACATCTTGATTTGGGACTAGCAGCCTCTCAAATGCTTAAAAGCCACATGGGAATCGTGGCTACTGAAATGATCAGAGCAGCCACAGATGAGCTACCTGCATCCCATGGAAATTCAACCCCCTCATCTGTGCCTCTTCCACCCAAATGAATAAATGAATGCACCAGCTGCCGTATATACTCAGTAAGGGTTGGCCATTAACTGTCATTTGTGTTCAGTCAGAAGGTCCTTTGCCCTCCAAGAGACCTGAAGACTTCTCTCTTCAAGATTCCTAACAAAAGCCTCTCCCCAGAGACCCTCCCCATGGACCAAGTTCATGTTGTTTATCAAAAGTACCTTGAGCTCCTCCCCGCCTGGAAACATTTTATAGCTCCCAGACGCTTTAGGATTAAAGTTCAAGTTCCTCTGCCAAGTAGTTGTGCTCACCAGGGATCTGGCTCTCTCTCTCCGGTGCCCTCAGCTCGCCTTCCTCCGAATCTCTCACTCACCCTGAACACCAGCTATTCCCTTTCTCTAGGAGACGCAGGCACTAAAGAGTGCTTGGGATTTTTCTTACTAGAAAATAACCCACCAAGGAGGCATGGGCTGCCCAGTGAAAGAAAATAGAAGCAGATGCCGGTTTAGGTGCTAAGAAAGAGGAAGATGAGAGTAGGATTCGGGAAAGGCTAAACCCGGTTGCACAGTCAATGCCCTGGGGCAGAGAGGACAGTCATTTTTGAGTCAGGAAACTTGACTTCTAGCAAGGTAGATAGATACAGACATGGATCACCCTAATTCACACCGGATGGGACGAGAAGTATAAAAGAGAAAAAAGAAGTGACTCGGTACTGAGAAGAGAGAGATTTTAAATCCCTATGAGATTTAAACAGGTAGGGGTAGGAACAGGCATCATAGGCAAAGGAGAAGGCAAGATGAAGATGTCCGATGTTCTTCCGACGTCCGATCTCAGAAAGAAAATTCCTCTCGTGCCCACCACACAGCCTATCTTCAGGCCTCAGTGGTCCCCTGAACATGAAGGGCCAGCCTTGCAAAAAATGACCCAAGGAATGGCGGGGTCCAAGGAGTTCCACCGCAGGAATTATTTCTGCTTGAGGGACCCTGTTTCCATGGAAGATTTTATCTATAGGAGGCTCTCTCAGCCTCTGTGACTCATTGACTTAGACATTTTCATCTTGCCTTCCCTCTTGGCTGGGATGCCTGCTCTTAACCCCGCCCCTCTATGTCCCCTCGTAAGAATGAAGAATCTCTCCCTCCTCCATGCCCTGAGCCACTTTTTTTTCTCTTTTTATAGCTCTTATCCCATCTGATGTGAATTTTGATGGTCTATATCTTTATCTGTCTTTCTCACTAGATTGTGCCTCTCGGGATACATTTCTCAGCCACTTGTACCGAATAGGTGTTTAGAAACTGCTTGCTAAATTCAGAGGGAGGCCAGGTGTGGTGGTTCACACCTGTTATCCCAGCACTTTGGGAGGCCCAGGTGGAAAGATTGCTTGAGTCCAGGAGTTCGAGACCAACCTGGGCAACATGGTGAGACCTCATCTCTACCAAAAAAATTTTTTTAATTAGCTGGGTATGGTGGTGTGAACCTGTAGTCCTAGCTACCCAGGAGACTGAGGCAGAAGGATCACCTGCCCTCCAGCCTGGGCAACCAGAGTGAGACCCCAACTCAAAAGAGAGAGAGAGAGAGAGAGAGAGAGAGAGAGAGAGAGAGAAATTGAGAGGGAGGAAAAAGGAAAGGGGCCAACGAGAGGACTCCACAGTAGCGAGAATTCTCTGAGCAGCAGGCTCTCGCCACTATCATTTTTTAAAGTGGCAATTGAGAAACATTTATTTGGTACCATGGGCCATGTACTTTTACCATCACATTATCATCTCACATCATTGGATCTCAAATGGCAGCAGGGGTCGTCTCTTGACTTTTCAGATGAAAATGGATTCCACTCAAACTCTCTTCCCAGAAATTCTGGGAGACCCCACGCTCCTGGGTATTCTTGGAGAGCAGCAAGCAGAGGGCTTATATTTCTCCTGGTTGCTTCCTGCTACTGCTGGATTAATATACTTTGGGGATCCTGTCACTGGCTGTTTTTTCCAAGCCAAAGGGACATCCCCAATCCCTTCCCTCCGGCAAATGCCACTGCCATAAGCCAAGAAGGGCCTCATCGTGGCGGACTTTCTCCAGAGGTTCAGAGGAGTGGTGGAGGTTTGCATCAGAGCCCAGCAATCTTCTGATTGCAGAAGATCAGACACCCCAGCTTTGTGAAGTCTTGTGTTCTCTCAGGTGGCCTTTCCCGCAGGCTCCACCTTCCCACCACGTGCCCCTTCCGAGTTTCTCCTTTCACCACCTGGCTTTTCTCTCTGCGGCTTGTCTGCACCTTCAGATTCCTGTCCTTGCCCCGCTGTTTCCCTGTCTAATGCCAGACCCCAGCCTCCGGTCTCCAGCACATCCGAAGCCACCTGTCAAGATGCTTCCCTAAACAATGACTTTCCTTAGACAAGCACTGGCACCACATGTTGAAATAACAATTCTTGGCCGGGCATGGTAGCTCACACCTATAATCCTAGCACTCTGGAAGGCTGAGGTGAGAGGATTGCTGGAGCCCACGGGTTCGAGACCAACCTGGACAACTTGGCGAGACCTCATCTCTACGATAAATCAAAAAATTAGCCAGGCATGGCAGCGCGTGCCTGTAGTTCCAGCTACTTGGAAGGCTGAGGTGGAAGGATCGCCAGAGCCCAGTGGATCGAGCCTGCAGTGGCAGGGAGCATGCCACTGCCCTCCAGCCTGGGTGACAGAGTGAGACTCCAACTCAAGGGAAAAAAAGGCAATAACAATTCTCCTCACTTGATCCTCACAAAAAAGCTGCAGTCGGATATTTTCCCCATGAGGCTGAGAGAGAACAGGGGACTTCCCAAAGACAGAGAGAGTCCACAGCAGGGCCACCATCTGAGCTCAGACATCAGACTCCCGCTTCAGTGCTCATGTCCTCCCACTCGACTTTGCCTCCAGGTCCCGGGCATGGCGACTTCTGGCGTGTTGCTCGTCTTCTGCCTCCTGGAGTTCTGCGTTGCTTGCGTGTCTTCCCACTTCGGCTGCCAGCTCGTCTGCTGTCAGCCCAGCAGCGTGAGTCCCGGGCTCCCCAGTGGGTGGGGACAAGAAGGGTCTCCAGGCTTCTGGGTCCCCACCAGGAGCAGCAGGACGGTCCCACGGTGTCCAAGAGCGTGCCGTCCTTCTTTTCACTCTTCTTCGTGGGCCTGCTTTTCCGGTCGGGGTGGTCTACCCGACCATCTATGCAACCATCCCAGAACCAGTGAACTTACCGCCAAGTTATTCCAGTGAGGCCCAGGGCTCCAGATAAGCAGAGCTAAAGATTCTAGAAGCATCCTTCACCAGAACCAAAAGAAGCCCTCCTCCTCTGGGCTTCTATCACCGAGGTTCGTCCTGTCCTGACGACTGAGGGAAATGTCTTTCCAACTGCTTGCATCTTTGGTTTCCTTCTTCGATTCAGCCTGGTGAATAATGCTGTCCCTCTATTAAAAGGAAGATAAGGGTTTAACACGGATCTTAGCAAAGAGGCTCTCCCTGGGGCACAGCTTCTGTGTGTGTGTGACAGGGCCTTGGCACACACACACCCGTGTTTCTGCTGCTTGTGGGCTGGAGGAACAGATGCGCAGACAGCCAGTCTTCACTCTTTCAGTCACTCATCCACTTAATAAATATGTCCTGAGCATGTGATGTGTTCAAGGCTCTCTTCGTGGGAACACTGGTGAACATGACTTAGTCTGTGGCCTCAAGGAACTTCTGGCCTCAGGAGAGAGGGCTCCGTAGGACAGCAGAAGGAACCCAAGGGTTGGGGGGCAGAAGGAACACAAAGCTAAGTATTATTTCTTCTGGCAGTGGTGTGGCAAAGAACGAGGGCAGCAGAGGAGAGACTTGGTTGAGGAAGAAACACCTAAAAGGTGTCAAAGGAGAGTGAGGGGTTTCCGGTGTCATGAGGACCACATCGTTTGAGAGACCTTTGGAGAGAGTGAGTCATCCGCTGAGATGATCAGTCCTTTTAGCGGCCGGTACCACTGATGTGACAGAACTATGAATGTATGATGTCTTCAGATAAGAAACAAAATTATGGATTTCGCAGGAACTTAGATGGATTTAAAGTCTATAATACTCAGTGATCTATCACAGAAACATAAGAGTACCACATGTTCTCATTCATAAGCAGACCCTGAACAATTATTATAATACTATAAGAAAGAAATTGGCAGTAGCGGGAAACTGCCAGGGGAGGGAAGTAGGAGACACACAACATCAATAAAGGTACTTTATCTCAAACCAGGCAAAATGGGGACCAAAGGAAGGCCCAACCTTTACCTGTACCATGACCCCTTGTATACCTAATTCTGAACTGTAGCCCACATCTTTAAAATAAAAAGGAAAAAGAAATCTTCCAGGATCATATTGCTCATTAAAAGGACTAACCCTGAGGATAACTGGCTGGGACTGAAACTTTATTATTTGCAGGCAGTAATTTAAATATTGTTATCCACGATGCTCAACAGACATCCAAAAGGTTGCATTTAGATGGGTTATAGCAATAATCTCTAAAGCCTTCCTTAGCTACAGAAGGACTGCCACTCTTCGTTTGTTGTTTGTTTTGGTTACTAAATATAAAACATAATTTGACCCTTGTAAACATTTTGCCCTTTGAGTTTGTTTAAAATATTCTTCTAAATCAGCAGTCCCCAACTTTTTTGGCATCAGGGACCGGTTTTGTGGAAGACAATTTTTCCACAGACCTATTATATTCAAGTACATAACATTTACTGTGTATTATTATTACATTGTGATATATCATGAAATAATTTTACAACTCGCCCTTTTAAAAAAAAGAGTTGCAGATGGAAGTGGTAAATAAAATAATGGGTGGGCCACAGGGGGACTGACTTAAGCGTCGAATTCTGACGTAAAGCCTGCCACCAGACACAGTTATACAATTGAAGTCCATCAACTCACTTGCCACTCACGGATAGGGTTTTGATATGCGTCTGCAAGTAACTGATGTATTACGGTCTCTGTGCAGTCAAATCTCACTGCTGATGTTCATCTGTCTTTGCAGCCTCTCCCCAGCACTAGCACCTCCGCCCCAGCTCCACCTCAGATCATCAGGCATCAGATTCTCATAAGGAGCACGCAACCCAGCTCCCTCGCATGTGCAGTTCGCCATAGGGTTGGTGCTCCTGTGAGAATCTAATGCCACCGCTGGTCTGACAGAAGGCAATGTGAGCAATGGGGAGCAGATGTAAATACAGATGAAACTTTGCTCACTTGCCTGCCTCTCACCCCCTGCCGTGTGGCCCAGTTCCTGACAATCCCTGTGGCCTGGGGACTGGTGACCCTTGTTCTTTTTTTTAAGTAGAATTTATTGAGAAGACAGAAAAGCTCCCATAGCAGGAGGGGGCCTGGGGGGGGGTTGCCAGGGAACCCTGTTCTAAATGACTTGCTGTTAGAGGTGCACCCCCTTCTGCACCTGCATTTTCTTTTCTTTTTTTTTTGAGCTGGAGTCTCACTCTGTCACCCAGACTGGAATGCAGTGGCCGCTCCCAGCCACTGCAGCCTTGACCTGCTGGGCTCCGGCGATCCTTCCGCCTCAGCCTTCCAAGTAGCTGGAACTACAGGCGCACGCTACCACACCTGGCTAATTCTTGATTGATTGTAGAGATGAGGTCTCGCCAAGTTGCCCAGTCGGGTCTCAAACCCGCAGGCCTAGGCAATCCACTCACCTCAGCCTCCCAAGGCGCGGGATTACAGGCTGAGCCACCGAGCCTGGCTTTGCATTTTCTTTGATATCCTTCTGATGCCCATCAACTAGTCAGGAGCAGCTGAGGTTCCAAGGCTAGACCTAAACAGACCCAAGGAATCACAGACCCCCAAAAAGTGGATTTTTACAAATGAAACCCGAAGCATGTGATATCTTGGTTCTAGACTGGCCCTTCACATACCTGTTTTGTAATCTAAGATGTTAGTACATCAGACTCCCCAACAGGGAATAACCTGTTTGCATCATTCTCTAAGAGCTGTGTGGGCAAAGCAAGTCTACTCTTCTCACTACCTTCTTCCCAATTGCTGCCTCTCACTGCGCCACCCAATTCCATACCTTCCCTTTCTACAGACTCTGATTCTCGACCCTGACTCTCCATTCTGTTGCCAGAGTCTCCTTCCTGACATTTCTGACCTCCTGTGGTTTAACTCAGACACCACTGACATTGGTCACCTCCTGTAGTGTGGGTCATCCTAGAGAAGGCACTTTCAATACACTTGGTGCCTCTCCAGATAAGGGGCAGCTGACACTCTAAACTTGCCCTGCTGAAATCACCATGGGTCTTCTTAGAACAGAATCCCTTTCCTATTCTACCCCCTACTCTATCATTACAGTCCCAAGTCCTAGACTTCTTGTCTTAGAGAAGACCACTCACCAACCTGGGGTGACAGCTCACTGCCTCCTGTGGGCAATGAAATTTCATGTGTTCTCTGCACACTCCCACAAGCCATCCACCTGCATGGTTCCATTCACTCCCAGCCCCTTCAGAACAATGAAACATAAAAATCAGGAGACCTTGGAGATCTGTGGCCCACCCAACTATTGGATAGATGAAAACACAGAGATGGTACGATGATTTGAATGCCCCCTCCAAAACTAGACATTGGCATTTGCAATGGTATTAAAGTGTGGGACTTTTAAGAGGTGATTAGATCACGAATGGAGTAATGCAGTTATCTTGGGAATGGGTTAGTTATCACAGGAGTGGGCTCCTAACAAAAGGATAAGTTCTAGCCCCATCATCTCTCTGTCTCATGTGCTCATTGCACTTCAGACAAGGTATGATGCAGCAAGAAGGCCCTTGCCAGACACCAGTGCCATGCGCTTGGACTTCCCAGCCTCCAAAGCTGTGAGAAGTAACTTTCTTTTCTTTATGTATTTCCCAGTCTCTAGTATTCTGTTATAACAGCACAAAACAGACTAAAACAGGCAGAGAGAACAAAAACCTACCCAAAGTTGTCAGCTCAGCTAGGAGTACAGCCAGAACCAGAACCAGAATTCCAGATGGCCAGCCCAGGGATCCTTGCAGGATCATGGGGTGGAAAGAGCAGGGTGATTAAAGACAGAGGATACTGTCTTCACTTCTTTAACTCCCACTGCTGTCAACTGGCTTTCTCTCCCAATTCCCTAACTGAAAATACTGCTCTCACCAAAGTCACCATTGCCCTCCATGTTGCCCTGTCTAGTGATTCTGTTTCCAGCCTTATCTTCCTTGAAATCTGCAAGATTTGACCTAACAAACACTCTCTCCTTAAAACTCTGACTCCTGGTTCTGTTCTGTCTTCTCCATGTGCTCCTCCTCATCCACCTGTGCAAGCAACTTTTTCTCCCCTTGTGCCTCCCATCTGGTGCTGCCCTTGACCTGCCTTTTGAGCAACACTCAACCCTGTCTCTTGGAGGGAACTGTTGAAAGATTCACATGTGCTCATCAGTGCGTGTACGTGCTGCAAAGTGATTACACCATTCAGTCCCTGGGTGTCAAACCTCACCATCCTCCAACTTTGAATTCCTTATGAAAGAAGCCATGCTATTTCCTGGTTCATATGCCTGTCCCCTGGCAAGTTCAAGTACCACTTCCACGGAGAAGATGTGTGAGGCTCTGTATAAGATAGGAAAAACCAAACTGTTTCTCCTACACTCACACTGAACTCTTCTGGTCACCAAAATGTGTAGGGATTTTTCTCACACTGACCAGTTCTCTGGTGGACATCCTCTGGGTGTCCTATAACTCAGTTCTATTCCAATGCTTATCTACTTGAGCCAGGCATGGTGATGTGCATCTGTAGTCCCAGTTACTCAGAAGGCTGAAGTGGAAGGATAGCTTGATCCCACATGATTGTCCTTACTTAAAATACCACTTACAGGTCCGAGTTACTGAAACTTCTAATCAGCTGACTATAAATTATGGGTTCCCACCACTCTCCTCAGGATCAGTTATTTGATAGAGCAGCTCACAGATCTCATGAAAGTGTTTATTTATGTTTACTAGTTTATTATAAACAATGTTATGAAGGATGCAGATGAGAAAGAGGCACAGGACAAGGTAGGTGGGGAGGGTCATGGCTGCTTCCCAGGGCATGCCACTCTCTACGCGTTCGGCAACCCAGCAACTCTCTGATGAGCCCTGTAGGTGAGGGTTTTTATGGAGGTCTCATCACATGGGCACAGTCGATTCTGAACACAATCTCCAGCCCTTCTCTCTTTTCCAGAGAATGGGGAATGGAGCTGAAAGTTCCAAGCTTCTCATCTTGGCTTGGTTC